TATAAAGATCATGATGTTATCTTGTTTTGCATATAATTGCACTCAAAGATATATTAAAAGGATTTTTTTTCATGTGTAAGTAGCTACAAATCATTGTTTGGTAAGATCCTACATTATATTTCAAATATAAATAGCATATTATTTTAATATGCTTATTTTTGTTGGTAGTTTTCTGAAAGATATAGAATTGAGGAGAAAATGGATACAAGTTATGTGGAGTGATGGTTTTACTCCTAGTAAACTGTCTAAACGTTGTGGTAAATATTTCACTGGTATAAAAGAAGTTTTTCGAGTTCACAAAAGAAACTAAAAAAAGATGCAATTTCTTCTATATTTAATTTCCCAACACTTTTATGAAAAAGTATTTATTCTAGAAAACTACTAAAAAATATAGACAAAGAATTATTTCAAATATTACCACCGATGATTCAAATACAGTAAGTCTAATGTAACTAATCTTTTTGCAATGACATATATTGATTTAAAACTTATATATATATATATATATATATATATATATATATATATATATATATATATATATATATATATATATATATATGTATATATATATATATATATATATATATATATATATATATATATATATATATATATGTTTATATATATATATATATATATATATATATATATATATATATATATATATATATATATATATATATATATACACACATTAGACTTACTTTATTGAATTATCTATGATATCGTTAACATTAATGGTATGATTATCAAAATTATTGTTCCCAAATATAAATATATATGTATATATATATATATATATATATATATATATATATATATATATATATATATATATATATATATATATATATATATATATATATATATATATTTAGGAACAATGTATATATATATATATATATATATATATATATATATATATATATATATATATATATTTAGGAACAATTTTGATAACTATATCATTTATGTTAACAATAATATCACCAATAATTCAATACAGTAAATCTAATTTAAATACATTACAATGACATACTTTACAATTACTTTTACAATGTCATATATTGATGTAAATGTTTGAGTATACTTTTTGTGACAATAATATCTTTATGGTTTTAAAAACATTGTTGAAAAGTGTCAAATCAATCCTAACACCAATGGTAAACAATATATTATAAAGTTTTTAAAATTGAATATAAGTAATCTTGCTGCTAAACAAAAGACAATTAAAATGCTTCAGCAATCCAACTGTTGTTTAATAAAAAGGATTAAAGACTTACATTCATACCTTCGTCATTTTAAATCAAAAAGTATGAATCATTTGATGAATCAAAAACATGAATCATACTATGATTTCTGAATAAGTATCAATTACACTAATGGTATAATATATATTTTTATTAAGAGTAGTTGTTGAACATATTTTATTTTATTTGTCTATTTAATTATTTTTAATATTTGTTTCTTATTTCTTATTAAGTTATACCTTTAGAATTATTTTGTTTTAGTCAACCTACTGTTAAAATATGGTTTTAAATTAGTAAGTTTTTATGATTAAAAACTTATTACAATAATCATCAGATAACAGTTAAGGAAAATTTTAATTCATCACAATTACGGTAAGAATAGCAATAAGTTAATTATTGTGTTTGTCGTAACAGTAATAATTGTTGTTATGATTGTAATGCTATTGTGATATTTTCATCTATTTCTTGATACCCCAATCAACGATGCCCTATTTTACTTGATTGGGTTTTCAAGTATATATATGATGTTGTAACTAAAAATGTATTTATTTAATCAATTTAATTTTAGGGAGCTATGTCTGAGTCTACAAAACTGTTATTTTGTCGGATTTCACAAGAAAAGTTGAAAAGCATTACCCACCAGAATTATGAAGCTTTGCTACAACACAGAGTTGTTAGTCCTAGGCCTTGACCTTGACTTAAGGACTTGATCTTAAAACTGTTGGTCTTGGTCTTGGCCTTGGTTTTCAAAAAAAGTACATAAAATTGAAGAATTAAAAGATATCATTCTTTATTTTTATGTATTTTTGTTTTCGGCTTCATACATATCCACAAGTATGTTTTTTATTGATTTCCTAGAATTTTGGGCATAACCCTGGTTTATTTTTACAACATGTAGTTTATTGTCACAGGAATTGTTACCTACAGTTTTGTTAATAATTGACCTTAACGTTAGACAAAAATTCAAGTCTTTGGGCTTGAAAATATTTTTATTCTTGGCCTTGACTTTAAAATTACTGGCTTTGACCTTGTAACTTTTGGCATTGGTCTTGGCTTTAGCCTTGTAACATGTGGCTTTGGCCCTATCCTTGCTAATTTTGGCCTTGTTAACAACCTTGCTTTAACATTAAATTTTTATTCTGCTAAAGCATTAGTTATGTTAGGAAAACATTTAGTAATGCACTTTTTCATCCTGAAATTATACAAAATGGCATAAAAGTGTTGACTGTTTCCCTGGATTTTGTAAAGAAGCTTTAGTTACTCTTCATAGCAAAATAAAAGAAGCTCAGAAAATTGGTCAACATATTGTGTGTTCATTTATGTTAGGTGAAATGGCCATTTGAAAAAAAATTGAATAAACAGGCCATAAATTTTCTGGTTATATTGATTTTTGTGCTGATATCAATAATAATAGTTAACCCAAAACAAAAGAAACTTTAGTTTTTATGATAAACTGTGTAAATGGACGTTGGAAACTTCCTGATGTATAATTTTTAATTAATAGTTTAGGTGGTTGTGAAAAATCTAATATTGTTAAGCGTTGTCTGTAATTTATTTATGAAAGTGGTGAAGAAATTATAAAACTAATATTGCTTAGTATTTAAAGATAAGATTGCACCACAAAACTGACTTGATCAACAACTTACATAATAAACGTATACAAAGTGTATTAACAAAGCAAATTTAATTTTCGAATCAATAAAAAGTTATTTTGTATATTAATGTAATGGATAATAAAATACATAAAATTGTATAAACTGTTACGTTTTCTTATCTAAGAAATCTAAAAATAATAGTTGATACAAATGATAAGTTTAATATTATTTTAAAAAATAATAATAATAGTAATAAGGTTTACTACAAAATTTTACATTTAATAAACAGTTTTCTATTTTTAAAGCTTTATTTCGCTTGAATCGCGGTTTGTTTTGCCCAAACGTGACGTCACGCGCTAAAAGATGTTGGCTTCAAAATATATAACTTACGGCGGGTCTATCAGTTTATATGGTCGAAGGATGAAACACTGTTAAATGAGAAAAAGTTTTGCTAAGTGATTTTCTACTAATTTGTAATTGCTCTGTTCTTTCAAGAACAATTTCGAAAAACCTACAAAATTATCATTATTTTAAACTTCCTAATTTTGGAAAAATATCAGATGGAACAAAACAAAGACTAAACGCAGTCATTAAAAGATATTGTAAATCGGTCACCGTAAGATTGGTTTTTACTTCGTTTAAAATTCCAAAAGATTTTTCCGCAAAAGATCCCTTTCCTACAGACTTTAATTCATTCGTTGTTTATAAATTTGAATGCGCAGGTTACAGCCTGCGATCCTGTTATATTGGCGAAACTACTCGCCATTTAAAGACTCGAATAATCAAGCACCAAAAAAGGGATAAAAACTCACACATTTATAAGCATATTCATTCAAATGAAATAGTTTTAATCATGCTAGTTTTTCAATCTTGGATTCGGCCTCCAACAAATTTATATTAAAACTCAAAGAAAGCATGTACATAGAGTGGGAAAAACCCACTATTAATAAACAAATGAACCATGTAAAAATGTCAATTCCAATCTAGTTCCTTTTAAAATTACCGATTCTTTTATTTTTTAACTTTTTTAAAACATTTGTTACATTTTTTAATCGCATTTTTATTGTATTTTTTATTATAAGGTCTTTATTAGGCTATGATATAGTCGAAACATGTATTATAAAATAAATGATTTTAACAAAAATTTAAAAAGTTGTCTTATTTATTAGAATATTTACACATTTTGTGCTTAAGAGAAACTTTGGAAATAATATATATATATATATATATATATATATATATATATATATATATATATATATATATATATATATATATATAATATATATATATATATATATATATATATATATATATATATATATATATATATATATGTATATATATATATATATATATATATATATATATATATATATATATATATATATATATATATATATATATATATATATATATATATATATATATATATATATATATATATATAGGGGAAAGCGGGGCAACATGGCAATTATTTTGAAAGCCCTGAGTTATTGCAAAACTATCAGCCGTGAAGCAATAATAATTTCTCAGTATGTTTACGTTGTTAAAATCCTTCATTGCCTGCATGAATTTTCAGTTTGCAAATATAACAATTTGAAATAAATATTAAAATAAAAAGTTCATAAATTTGTCATTTGGTCACGTGACCGGGGCAAGATGACTTATTATGCAATTTTTAGCTCCAATTTTATAAAATTTTAAAAACTACCAATAATTCTAACTAAAGTAACACAAAATAAACACAAATCGCAAAAAACTACTTCTAAAGAAGTTAAACTTGAAGGATACCAACCATTATGAGAAACCGAAAGTAAGAAATTTTTTTTAAGCGCAGTAACGCAATTTTATACGCAAAAGTAAACTTATGCGTATAAAATTGCGTTGATAATATTTCAAAAAACCACTTGGTGTTTTAAAATACAAAATGCAAATATAGTTTCGTTTTCAACCAATTTTAAGATTTTTTGTTGAGTTGTTATATGAAAACCCATCTTGCCCCATTTGCCATGTTGCCCCGCTTTCCCCTATATATATATATATATATATATATATATATATATATATATATATATATATATATATATATATATATATATATATATATATATATATATATATATATATATATTTCTAACGTAGTTGTTACCTTCATTTAATCGAGAACCACATGTGGAACAAAAATTTCCATCTCTCAATTTATTACAGGTTTTACAAAACTTTTGGCTTGAAGGTTTATTCTCACATTCATCTGCTTTAATCTTATTGTTTTTGTTTTGGTGCATTGCTCTGTTTTTATATTTTTTACTTTTACCCATTTTTATTTAGTACAAAAAAATTCCCTCCAGTTTCACTGATTCCAGTGATAATATTTTTTTTTATCTAATTTGAGTTTAAAAACAAATATTGAGCTAATTAAACAAATATTATTTTATTAGCCAATTGGCTTAATTTTGAAATTCGGTAAATTAATAGCGAATACAATGGAAGTCTGTAAGGTGGAGATGTTTGTTAATCTAGATCGTAAACCCACAATCCAATTCGCAATTTGAAATAATAAGCGTGCTCCGTTGTTAAATTTGAAATAAAATCAAACAATAGAAACAAAACTTTTGTTTTTATAGATTTTATAGATTCGTTTACATTAACATCAATAAATTCATCATGTGAATGCTCACAAAAAACAGAACATAATACTTGATATAATATCAACTCAAAGCTAAGTCAATATTTATTTCAAAAACCTTTTGTTACAAAAGGTTTTCGAAATAAATATTGACTTTGATAACTCAAATTGACATGAAAACCTTTTGTTACAAAAGGTTTTCGAAATAAACATTGACTTAGCTTTGAGTAGATATTATATTAAGTATTATGTTCTGTTTTTTGTGAACATTCGCATGATGAATTTATTGATGTTGATGTAAACGAATCTATGATAAAAAATATTTAATCTTGGACAATAGAGTTCCCGCCACTCTTACCAAATATCAAAATTCCATTAGCTGAAAAAAAATCAACTCATTAAATGTGTTTTAAAGACAAATATTTTACTTCCTATTAATAGAGAAGTTATCTGAAATATTAAACAAATATATAACAATCCTTAGACTCCGAATGAGATTGATTGTTACATCAACAAGCCTCGTCTGGAAAAATGAGCACGAGAGCGGAGAAAAGTTCTCTTAAAACAAACTTTGGGAGCTGTGCGAGCTGCTCCTCATTTATATCGGCGCTCTTTTTTAATTTTAACTTTTTTTTTTCAACAACCGTGCTTTTTAAAAACAATTGCAGTATATTATGCAGTTAGTTTTTTTAAAATGACATTGTGTTTTTTACTTTAGTTACAACGATACTTATACTTTCGTGAGAAAAATTATATTTTTGCGAGAGCCGTAAATTGCTCTCGTAAACCGTTTCAGGGGAGTGTGGGCGAGAGCGGGACAATTCCAATCATTTTTAAAGATTTAATGTCTTTTGTTTTATTCTGTTAGAAGACTCTGGAATTCTTAGGCATAATGGTAATACAAGAACTAACCATTTTTTCAATGAGTCTACTTAAAATTTTTCAGAGTAGTTTTTAGTTTTCTAATTCTTTATGAACTACTCGAACGTGTTAACTAGTATATCATACATGAGTTAGTTAAAGTTACTTCCAATGGCTAATTAAAAATTTCTTTTCACCACTAAATTGTCTTATCTAGATTACTACAGGCCCGTAAGAACAAAATTAAATTATGGGAGGTGGGGTCAATACTACTGGGAAGGTCAAATACTTTGAGGGTGAATCAGAATAAAACTTTATGATTTTGCTTGCAATGTATAATAACGGGAATTTTATTTTATATTCTACTTGATTTAAAAGACAGAAAAGATAAATCCACAGTTTTTTTTTTGTTTGGATGTATTTGCAAACATGTTTTCAAGACACTGAATATCGTATTTGAAGAAACATTCAAAAACTTTTAAGCATGTTTCTTTCCAATCAACAAACTCTTTCGCAACTTTAATCATATCGATTTCAGCTTTATGAATGTTTAATAACATAATATGATTCAAGCATTTGTTAGTGGTTGTGGATTAAAGATTTCACGCGTCTTAAAGGGTAAAATGTTCTTTCGTTAAAAGCATTAGTTCCAGGCATAACCAGGACAAGCTTCGCCAAAACAACCACTTGAGTCATATAGCGCCTTTCATCCACACTTAAGTTTTGTAAAAAGAAACTAATTCTGTTATAAGATTCGCCGTTAAATGCATTCATGAAAACTTGTTGCATATTTCGGTAAACAACCCAATTTGGCTGATCAAAATGAATTGTTATCATTTCAGCTATCAAGAGCTTTGTAATAAATCTTTCAATATATCTACTCTGTTACTTCAGGATAGTATGTGGTATTACTAGTATAATAACTTTCGGCTCTAGCAAGACGTCTTTTTTTCCTTGGAATATAAAAATCTTTAAACTGCAATTGTAAGTACGATGGTTTGACAAATTTCCAAAATCCCACAAATGACTGATCATTTTTAATAGATATCAATGTTTTAACTGTATTAGAATCAAAATGGTAGCCTTCAACAGCAGTGTATGCGCTATCCTGTAAAGTTTGTAAAAGGTTATCTGTTTGTATTAAAATCTTTTTCCCCATAAGACAAACAAAAAGAAAATCGAACTTCTGCATGTGTATCATAACACCACGGATACACGCTATCATATCAGTTTTCTTTACATTTTCCAACAACCATTCCCATACATTGATCATAATTACAATAAAATATAATATAATTACAATAAAAGCTTGGCATGATTTCCCACGAATAAAGCGCGTGCACAAAATAAATGTGAAAGAATAAGTACTTCATTTTTTTTCAGTGGTTATATTAAAATCTTTTTAATGTTTTGTAATACAAAACAATTAAAAAGATTTTATAATGACATTGTAAACAAAATACAAATTGTATTTTGCTTATAACGTGTTGTTGTTTCAAAAAAGTGTGCTAGTTTTTCAATTTAACTTAAAATAGTTTTAAAAATGACAAAAGAAGAAAGCATAAGAGAAAAAAATTATCCACAAATACTTGAAAAATCCCAGCTATAATTCGTTAGCGAAAGCGTTGCAAATACATCCATACACCGTTAGTCGTGTAATTCAACGTTTTTTTCAAACAAAATCGATCAAACGTAAATCTGGTGGTGAAAGAAAGGAGGGTTTTAAAGATATAAAACTAGTCAGAAAACAAATTAACAGTTTTAAATTTAACCCAAGCCTTACACTGAGGGAAAGTTTTCCAAACTGCCTAGAATTGAGAGTTATTTAAAAGCACTGGGCTTAGGGCTGTTCAGTAGGGAGCAGTGAAACTTTAGGTGAAAATATAAATAGCAAATTATTGATATGTAATAACAACAAAAAGTTGCCTTTTGATATGTGTTCAAATAAAGTAAAGAAAATTTCCTCAAAATTTTAATGTCTTCAGCTGCCTCAAGGGGGTCAAAGTTACTGAAAAATAGGTATTTTTCATGAAAACAGCCTGTTTTAGCCATAACTTTTCAAAATAAAAACTGTATTTTTTTTCTTTATTAATACCCTAAGTCTGATTACTAATAGTATTGTTTCACCCAGAACTGTATTAAGGAGGCTAGTTTAGGGGAGGGGGTGTTAGGGGCTATAGCCCCAGGCCCCCAAAAGAATCAAGAGAAGTTAAGCAGCCGTGGTGCAGTGGCAGCGCACTTGCGTCAGAAATGTAAGACTCGTGGTTCAAACTTCACCTCTGGGCAAGTTTTGCGACATCGGTTGGGAAGGAGGCGTGAACTTCCTATTAAATGCTCTTCCGCGGTGCTCTGTGATAAGACCGTAAGGACTTCTTGGGGCACCTAAAATTAACTATTTAAAAAAAATTTTTTTTTTTTGAGCCATCTTCACGCTGTGACACAGAAAAAAGGGCCCTGAAAAGTCTTAATTTGCCATTGGTTTCACCTAACCTGTTTTGGTTATCTTGGTTATTTCACCTTTATAACTCTTCAATAAATGTTTAAAATTAAATGTTTTAAGTTACTTGTTAACTTTATGTTATATTGACGTAAAATGTGTTTTATTACCCTTTATTTAGTTATTATTTAGTTATTATTTAGAAATAATTATCTAAGTGGTTCATCATATTTCTTTTAATACTTCTCAATATATTTCTTTGCATATCAAGAAATTGTTACTAAAGTTTGAAATTTTAGTTTAGCTTTTAATTTTATTTATGGCTTGCTAGAATAATGTATAATCAATAATTACTTATGAATCTAATACAAAGTTTGCTTATTATTGAACAAGTTTTAATATGGCCATTAGGTTAGTGAAAATGAGGATGATGCTGACTTGTCCTGTCTTTGGTATACCTAAAGAGATGTCGCAAGTTGTTTTACCAACATATGAAGATGTAAGGAAACATTACTTGCCTGTAAAACATCAAATGAAACCAACAGCTGCTACGAAAGAACCTACTATAACAGAAATGTCTGAAAAAGTTGCACAAGTTGTTGAAAAAATATGATTACTCATACACGGGTATTAAAGATGATTCGCTCCTATCATGATATATACAGAAAACTATTGCGAAACATCAAGCGTAGTAATTATGATAGCAAAGTGAACGCTTATAAAGAAGATGCAAGGCATAAATTGTTTGATATCTGCACTTATGAGTGTTTGAGAAGTGTGTATGTAACAAAACTCGCATGGCTCCTCCTGCAGAGCAAGATTTTATCCAAGATCAGAGAACTCTCAAATTGATGTGCATTGGCAATGTTGATAAACTTGCATCAAATAAATTGACCATAAAGTTTAAAAGAAAAAGTATTGAGCAGCGGCATAGAAATAAGCATCGCAATGCCTTGTCTGTGTCTATGGTTGGTGATTTTGAAAGTTGATCTACAGCTCAAAGTGATGAATATGATAATTACATTAATAAAGGTAATATTTCCGATGTTTCTTCCATTGATATTATTAGTTCTTCGTATTTTTAAGATCGGCAACCACTATCTGCATTAGCAAACGTCTGTGACCGGTATGGGATCTCAGATAGAGCCGGAGCTGCAATAGGAAATGCAGTTTTGGAAGACTTTGGTGTTGTTAATCAACAAGATACCTCTTATGTTGTTGATCCAAGTAAAATATGACGGGAGAAAACCTAATCAACTAAAAACTTCTAAAAATTCAAAAATAGTTCGTGGAATTTATTTTGATGGTCGAAAAGACAAAACTCTTGAAAACATCAAGGAAATGTTAAAGTTCTATCGACGAAGTATTACTCAAGAGCACACCTCTTTAATCGAAGAACCAGGGTCTAAATACCTTGGGCATTTATCACCATCTGGATCGTCTGCCTATTT